GTAGTATATATATATATATATATATATATATATATATATATATATATATATATATATATATATATATATATATACAAGCAAAATGAAATAAGTAATTGTTTGCTGCATTCCAATGGACACTGCACTGCATTACAGTGCATGCAGAGCTGCATTATCATTTCTTGCACTACATTACCATTACAATTCCTTCATACACGCTGCGTCATACATGTTTTACTTCCTAAGTGTGCACCGCCTTTCACATATCACCAACAAAATGTTATTATGAAATAGCATGAACGGGGAAAAAGGGAGACAGATTGTGTAGTGATTAATCCTTCTGTTATTACAGTTATCTCTTTTAGATTATTCAGTAGTTGCAGCTAAACATCGTTGTCACTTTCATCATCCTCCAAAAGCAAATATTTTATCAAGGAAGCGAAAAAAAAATCTGAATAGAACATTTTTTAAACTATAAACTAATTAATAAGTTCATGTTCGTACAGCTTATGCCACTTGCTTTATTACTGCATTAAATTGCATAGCAGCTTTCCGTGCTATAGAAGAGGAAAGGGATATGGATCTTTGTTGTATATGAATTTTTTTATTTTTGAGAAAATTGTTGTAATTGGCTGTATGGAATAGTTAGGATTGATTAAAAAGGTTTGCCATGCGAAAGGATTATAAGGGAGGTAATGGAATGACTCCTCGATCACCTGTGCATTGGTATGAAGATGTTAGAAGATGAACGTGGTGTAGAAAACTGGTAAATTGACAGATAAGTAGAGTAGAAAAGGTATCATCTTCATGGAATAAGTAGAGACATAATAGTTTGAACTTATAAGAAGTTTTGGGTAAGAGCAACATATATTTTTCATCATTTTGCGACTGAAAAGCAGTATTATTATTTATAGGTTCATTCTTATCCTTCTAATTAAAATATCGGAAAAACGGGAGTTTTAGTATTATTACTGGTTATTCCAATTCTTTCTCTTTTTTTTATTACTTTCTCTAACAGTCTCCAAAAAGTTTGATTGATGGGCAATATTGTTTGTGCTAGTGGTACCAAATGGTTCTGATGTTTTCTAATATTTTAATGGTAGTAATAGGTCATGTTGTTTTACCTGTCGTGCAAAGTCAGTATGTCGATGAAAAAAAAATCGTTTAAAACACTTCTGTGAAACTTCCCAATCTGATATTTCTCATCCGAAATTTTTTCTCTGAGAAATTTTATTGGTAGAACATTGAAATCTACAATTTGAATCAATATCTTATAAATATTCCTTCTAGGATTTCGTTGGATATTACTGATGTTCATAGAGGAGTTTTGATGCGTCTAATCGTTTCGTTTCAGAAATATCGGGCATTGCTTTATAACTTACGAAGAATCCGAAAAATCAGTTGTTATATCCTGTCGATTGTTCGATTTCTTGCTGTGTAATGCGAATGCAATTATTGTATTAAACAGATTCATCCCAGAAAAATACGGCAGAGCAAGCGAAAAAGTGAAATGGTTGAACTCAGAGTTTCAAGAATTACTGCTGATTTCGTTGTTTTAGCATGTTGTGGTTGGTGTTATTTAATATCCTAGTGGGTCCTTCCTATTAGTCTTTATAAATGCTGTAAAGAGCGGAAAAAAAAAAAACTAAACATATTCTTAACATTCATTTTTCAAACGGAAAATTTTTGCATATTTTGAAGTGACATTGCTGGTAAATATAATCGTGCCACTTTTCACTGGTAAGAATGCTAATAAATATTCTTCCTCTTCCTACATTTTTTAGGGGATGATAGTATACATCTGATGTCTACTGTCGATAAGTTTTACCAAACATTCTTTGGAAGTTTTATTTTCTGTATTTCTATAATAAAATCTCCGAAATTTGACCCTTCCTCACTTTGTAATGCTAATAATTACGATTCGATATTTATTCATTGACAAGCGACACTACCAATAGATATTCTTTCTCTGCTTTTGGTAATAACTGATATTCCACATATGGATAACTATTTCCACCGCAAAATCTATCAGCTTGTTCGCAGTTAATGAATTTGTTGATATGTTTTGCTTTTATCAAGTAGTGTTTCTACATTTATGATAAATGATACCACAGTCGATTCTTTAGATTTCTGCCTTTATCTCTCGGAATTTTAAATTATTAATCTTTCCTTATTTCTTATGAAATTATTTTCAAAATTTCAGCTGTACCACTACTAATATTTCACAAATGGGTTGAACCATACAAGCGCGGCTTTTACTGTGATGACGAATCAATTCGATATCCCTATCGACCATCTACTGTTTCCCGACAAATGCTTGTTGTCATCGGTCTCGTTATACCGGCAATTCTTGTAAACTTATTTACCCTTCATTATTTCCATTTCGTATTGTTTGCATGTGGTTCAAATAAGAAAAATGCACCATTTCTTTTTTTTTTCTCAAGTGACAAACTAATAATCCGATCTTGTACACGAAAAAATCTTGGTCTGAAAAATTCTCGATACTAAGACGGAATTCTGTCGGACTGTATGATGGGACTAATAAAAATGCAAAATTTTTAGTTTAATAATGGACCAATTTCAGATTATAACGACGGAAACATTTCGTGCGCTAGCATGGGAACGGAAATGTAGAAGCGAATTCCAGTATTACCGGTGCCGAAGATATGCGATACCACGTCTAGTTGTTCGTCTTTATGTTTTCTTTGGTGAGTTTAGGTTTTGTCACATGTTATTGCTCAATAACATAGCAAAGATACTTTCCGTTCATTTTTCTTTTGAAATTACGGCAACTAGAAAGCTTCAAACATAGTAATAGCCATAGCTGTTAATTTGCTGCTGGTTGGATTTTTTGAAGGTATTGATTGAATCATCAGTTATTGAAGATATATGATTAGGAGTTAGTACATTAGTTTCTGAAACGTTTTATCAGCAAAATAATACTTTATTTTGTCATTTAGCTTGCCTTATTCGGAACTTCTTTATTTTTCCTTTCATTTCTTTTTTGGATCATAAATCATAAATGAGCATGATTTTCACAAGATTGGCGAAAGAAAACTACATATGATTAAGTGACATTAGATGTGAGGAACTTTTATTTGTGTCGTTCAAAATTTCAGGATATTTCCTTGTTGGTGTTATTTTCAATCAATTAATGGTGGATATAGCGAAGTATACCATCGGTCGCCATAGGCCTCATTTTATAGCAGTGTGCAAACCAAAGGTACATTTTAGAAATCTCGGGGACATGTTTATATTCATATATTTTAGAATCCTGGTATTAGTATATGCTGTGTATCCTCATTTTAATGTGTGCTGTGTTTCTAATCACATTATTTAGAAAACAAATTTTTCAATTCCTACTAACATTTCCATGTTACAGTTATGGACACACCATTTAAGTACGTCGGTTGGCTATATTTTCCTTAGTTTTGTTTAAAAGTATCTTCTATTAACTTAAATTTGCACTGCTAACAACATCATGCTTCATTCATCAGCACAAAGACTTTGTTTTGGCCATACTTTATACCTCAGCATTATTCGTAATGGCTTTAACTCCGGATGCAATTACAGCAGCTTCTCCCAATATTTTAGATTCGTAGTAGAAAAAACTAGCTCTTAATTGTTTGACAAAATCAGAAATGAAATATGATATGGTGTGGTAAGTTATCCCCGAAGCATTTTGCTAAAGAATGGGAAAGGAATGACGAAATTAGAAATGATGTAATTCCAACACCTAGATTTAAACTTGGATTAGGTTAATGACTTGAGCATTATTTCTGTAATTGATGATGTTAGTTGTAGCAATGGCAAAGTGACAGCTGCAGTTGTGATAGTGATGGTTGTATTTAATAAAATGGTGTGAATAGCTCATTGTGTTAGTTATAACACTGAGAACAGTACTTGCAGTTACTGGCTTATTGCATAATATGTAATAATTGATTAGTTCACTAAGGGAAGAGCTGACGTTGGCGTCATATCGGAACACATGATATCATTCTGAAAGTTTTTTGCAGCGCATGGGAACTCAATATGTCGCTGTTGGTGGATCAAATAGTAGTCGTACCCTAGCACTCAAACGTGTAAGTTTGAAGAGTTAAATTTGCAAAAGAAAGATGGTGGATTTTGGAATATTTCTTGTTAATCAACTAAATATGTTGAAAATATTTGTTGACCCCCAGGAAGTACATGCGTTGGTCGAAGTCCCATAATCTGTCGATGATCATATTTCACCACTGCAAACTTTTTGCAAAACTGGAAAATCTTATGAAGGAGGGGCACAGATTTGGTTGATCTCAGTGAGGATGACTGCTTTGAAAAATTTCTCGTCATTATTGATTCATCTGTTACGTGAAGTTTTCTAAAATCATCCACTTTATTTTGCATCAAACTCTTCAATTTTTAATTTAATAAAAAATTTTTCCTTCTAATGGGTTGGAGATTTTTGTTTTTTGTAGACTTATTCCAAATTATCAGTTGCTTTAAAGGTAAGTATTAGAAGTTGTTTTATTGTTCGAATTTGTTTTTT